AGTGGGAAGTGCGAGCCAGGCTGAGGATCCCCGCGCTCGTCGATCGGATGAGCTGAGAGCTCCGCTCCTTTATCCGTCGATCTTTCCTTCCGATGCAGCGCTCTAGTGTTTCCACTTCACATGCAAACCATTTTCGAGAGTCTGGGTCGACGTCTGTGAAATGGAGACGTAGCATTTCACAACTAAATTGCAGTAGGGCTGTGAAAAAGAGATTACTATTTAAAATTCACCTTTTCCCCCCAGGCGTGATGATGCGTAACTGTAGCCAGAGCATCTAGGATGCTGAAACCACAGCCTTGGCTACATAAGGACACCCTGCCTCAAAAGACCAAATCAGTGGGGCGGCAAGGTGAATCAGCAACGAAGAGCGCTTGTTGCTTTTTGAGGAGGTTCGGGATTTAGGTCCCAGCACTCGCACGGTGTCAAACAAGGGTTTCTAACCTCAGTTCAAGGAGCTGGGGTGGGGAGTATTAGTGGGGGAATCTCTCACCCTCTTCTGAACTCTGCACATACATACAAGCAGGCAAAACACTCACACACATAAAATAAATACATCTAAAATAAATCAATCAAAACAAAGCACCTTGATAGAAAGGCTTGAATTCCTTCACTCTTTCAAAGTCTATCTGCTCCTTCCTGGGTGGTTTAATTTCCCACTGTTAGTTTTGTTTTTGTTTGGGGGTTGTTGTTGTTGTTTTAACCTTTGTAATTATAGGGAAACCTTAAAAATCATTATGTTACCTATTGGCAATGTCAGGTGTTTCTAGGTTCTTGATTATATAACAAGAATGCCCAAAGATCTATAAAATAAGCAAGGCAAGAGACTGATAATACTGTCAAGATGACACTGGGCCACAAAACTGAGGGCACTCATAGGTCATTATTTAGGGTTCCTTTTATGGGGTTCAACAGAAGGAGCTTCTCTATTAAGGTACATAGTTTGACTTTGATATATTTGTTTATACAATTATTTTCTAAGACATATCCCTTCCTGAAATGCATCATATTTTAATCATGTGCATGCCTGGTGGCATAGACATAGGAATGTAAATAGGGGATTCGTCTTAAACATTAACTGGAGGACATAATTTTGCATTACTATACATGTACACAAACCCAGCTTAGGCTAGATAGCCCCTGTATTCTTCGTACCTGGATATATTGGGAGTTTATTTGACTCAAAACTGCCTAAATTTAATTTTTAGAAGAGGAGAAACTTACATTTACACAAAGAGGGGTGTATGTATAGCCAGATGCAAGTGTGAGGTTGCTAAATGCATTGTTTCTATTGGAGTGTGTGCATGCAGATAAAGGAGCTGGACTGCCAAATTCATTATTGGGGGGGTCAAAGGATGAAGATTTATAATTTATAATACAAACCAAGTAGAATTTGGGGATGCTAAGGTATTCCCTGTGCTTGTCTGCCTCAATTGCCCTGCCACAGCAATATTTTTAATGATTTATTTTTATTTAATGTGCATTAGTGTTTTGCCTGCATGTATGACTGTGTAACTGGAGTTACAGACAGTTGTGAGCTGACAGTTGTGTGGGTGCTAGGAATTGAACTCAGGTCCTCTGGAAGAGCAGGCTGGGTTCTTAACTGCTGAGCCATCTCTCCAGCCCCTGCAGTATTTCTAAATACCAAAATATACAATATAATAGGTTTGTTTAGTAACAAGTACTGACACTGAAGAGAAAAAAAAAAAAACAGATGAGAACAAACTTCATCATTTGCCTCAGTGTAAACTACTAAACCAGTTGCTAGGCCTAAGATGTATCAATGACTTAATTCAACAAGTCTCTTGCAAAATAGTTACTATGTGCTAAACCAGGCAAGAGGAACACAGCTCCTGTCCTTATAGTTTTGGTTTAGGCTTTCATGGTCAGCCCTGACTTAAGCTGCTCATTTTTTAGAAGTTTTTTTTTTTTAAATAAAAATTTTAGTCGATATACACAACTTTCTCCTAAAAACAATGGTCATTTAGAATTAGAAAAATGGCCCTTCTGTCAGTTGAGAACCTTAAGATCTGAGAGTGGGAAAAGAAGCTGAACTGCTCTCAATTATAATGTAAATAAATGCAAATGCTCACAAAATACCCATGAAGTGTGAGATGGAGTTCTGGCCACTGAGCAGGCAGGGCCCTGAGTTGAGGATGTTCCAAATAGTAACTTGGTGTAACTGAGTAGGTAATTAGGATTTGTGAAAGGAAAATTGTTAATGTGGATTCATGAAAAGAACTGGGCATCGTGACCCATTCATAAATCATCAGGAAATTCTCATTATCTTAAGTACTAGCTCTAGGTGAGTCAAAAGTTAGTGAAAAAAGTCAAAAGTTAGTGAAAAGGTGTGAAACAGGTTAAGTTTTGCTTGTGTGGCAATATAGTGAATAAAAAAGCCAACATATGCAGGAACATAGTCAAGAAAGCAGGTAAGACCATGAGAGGCAATGCAAGAATTTTGTAAGTCTTGAGTAGACTTTGCATTTCTGTGTACAGTGTTGGTACATAATGGATCAGGAAACCATTTTAGAATTTTGCCTACCAAACTCTATAGCTTTTATGCCTGCAATGCACATAGCAAGCACATAGCAACAGGCACATGGCTCATTATTGCTGTGAAAATAGTTGTGACTTCAGCTGCTGGGACTACAGCTCAATTGGGAGAGAACTTACTTGCCTGCTATACCCAAAGCCTTGGGTTCAGGCTTCAGCACCACAAAGGTCAGCACTTGGGAGAAGGATCAAAAATTCAAGGCTAGTCTTGGCCACACACTGAGTTCAAAGCCAGTCTTGGCTACATGAAGCCTTGTCTCAACAGATAAAAGTCCTGACTTGATGGATTTCTTGAAAATGTCTCCAGTCCCTCCAGGGATCCACTGTTCTAGATGACCCCTGGGGTTCCCACATGTAGTCTGTGGAAGTGACTACAGGAAAACGGGATTTTTCTGTTTTACTCATCTTTCATAAACATTGATCAATTTAAAATATTGATTACAAGATATTGTCCCACTTAATAGTAAAACTATAATTTATACAACTTAAGGAAAAAAATCCCAGTTACCTTAACTGGACTTTGGAATACCCAGATAGTTCATAAAACATTCTGAGGATTTCTGTGAAGTGGGTTCCAGAAGATGTCAACTTTAGAAGGAGTAGGCTACGAAGACAGCATCACAGTGATGGGCTGGGGTGGTGTGCTAGTTACTTTTCAACTGCTGGGATAAAAACAAGGACCAAGGCAATGTACAGAAAAGAGTTTATTTTGGCCTTATGGTTCCAGAGGGTTCCAGAGGGTTAGAGTCCATAATCGTAGAGTGGGGGCATGACAGCAGGGATGGGAAGCTGATGGACTCATATCATGAACTCGAAGGCTGGAAGTGATGACATACACCTATAAGCCCAACCCTTGGGAAGCTAAGACAGGACTGTCCATGGGAGGTCACCTGAGCTACATAGTGACACCTGGTCTCACAAAACCAAACCAAAACAGAACTAGGAAAGGAAGGACAAAAATGCACTCCTAGATCTGAAGAATACCTTTCTCCTGCTTTCCAGACAGAACTTCAGACTCTTGAGCCTATGAACTCACTGACACCAGACCAGCACTTTCCCAAAATCTCAAGTTGGGACCTTAATCTGCAAATTAGACTGATTCCTTTATTCTCAACAGTTCAAATTCAGGCCGAATTACACTATTGGCTTTCCTATTTCTTCAGCTTAGAGATGACGCATCATGGACTACTTGCTCTCCACTGTGTGAGACAATTCTCATCTTTAAATCTCCTATGTGTCTGCATGTTTCCCATTGAGTCTATCTGGAAGCCCTACTGCTTATCAGTCTTTACATCAAGGAATAGTCACCTCTTACTGTTCTTACACAATGCTAACTACACATGAAGAGTCATTTACAAGCTAGCCCTTAACAGTGAAGCAGAGTCTCACTCTATGACACGATTTTAATATCATTCAGAATAATGACATAGTCTGTGGTCTGAATGTTTGTGTGTTCTCAAAATCATAGGTTTCAACTTAACCCTGCATTTGATGGCTTCGAGAAATAGGACTAAGAAGTAATTGGGCCACAAGGACAAGATTGAAGCCCTGAACAAAGAGCCCAAAAGAGCATGTTTGCCCTTCCCCTTCATATATGAAAACTGTAAGAACTGGGCCTTTCCTGGACACCAGATCCATTTGCACCTTAATTATAGTTTTCTTTGTCTCATAAATGTGAACAGCACATTTTGTGTTTACAAAGTACCCAACTTCAAGTGTGGTTTCTAGCAAAGCAGATGATAACAATGCTCTAATATGAAATGTAATATTCAGTGCAAACACTAAGCTGCACATTGCTTAGGTCCTACTGCAAAATCAAAGGAACTCTGTCTTCTGACTATCCTGAATAGGTGAATTTGCATTAGTGTCCTTACTTTTGGATCTAGTATGAAGCCAGTTCTTGCAGTCAGTGTCAGTAAAACATGGGAGATATTTGAACAAGTATGTGGGGCGTTTAATGATTTGCAACAAATCTGACTCTTCAGGAGGTAACAAATAACATTTATTCAAATGCTGGTGTATCATTGTATTTTATAAACTGAGATTATTTTATTTTATTTTTTTTTGAGACAGGGTTTCTCTGTGTAGCTTTGGAGCCTATCCTGGCACTCGCTCTGGAAACCAGGCTGGCCTCGAACTCACAGAGATCCGCCTGCCTCTGCCTCCCAAGTGCTGGGATTAAAGGCATGCACCACCAATCCCCCGGCTGAGATTATTTTAAACCTCTTCTAAAATTAATAAAATAGTCTGGAGAGAAATAAAATAAACAGCAACTAAATGTTTAGTTTTGTGGTATTGTGTACTTCTTTGTTACTTTTGACACAATTAGCTTATGTAATACTTATGAATACTTACCCTTTGTGGTGTGTGTGTGTGTGTGTGTGTGTGTGTGTGTGTGTGTGTGTGTGTGTGTTTTTTCTTTTTATGGAAGAA